ATTTATTTATAATAAAATCATCAGGTAGGTATTCTATATCATCCATTTAAAGGTACTTTCTAGTTGAATAAGACTTTTTCATTGAAGATGCAGTACGTAAACACATTGGCTACCTCTGGATTAAAATATCCTGTGACCATCGAAAAAAGGACAATGAAATGAGTAGAAAGATCCAAGCAAGGTTTTGAACTTGGGCTAAAAATTCAAATTTCGATTTTAAAATTTCAATTTTAAAACCATTACTGTAACTGTTTGTTCCCCCTACCTACCCACCTCCAGTTCACTTTCAACAGAAAGGCCCTCTCTCACCTCATTCTATTAAGCATAAATTTCCCATGCAAGTGTAGGTATTTGTGTGTGTATAATAAAGCTTTATGAATCCCAAGTATTTTGGAAATGTGTCAGGGAGAAGATCCTGTAAAGTGTATTTTTTTTTCATTTATGTTGTATACCAGCCTTTAAGAAAAATAGAGTATTTTCCTTAAAGCAGGAACAGACTAACAAATCTTAGATGGCTAAGAGATCCGATGATAGTTTACAAGATAAATGTTGAAAACAACGAATTTGACAATAAGATAAAAACAGATTTAGTAGCTCTATTACATTGAATTACATTATGGTATAAATGATGAAGGGAGGCACTGTGCATATGTTAGAAAGAACAGTGAAGAGGACATCTTACGTCCATCCTCCATCAGCTGCCGGACTGGGATGATACACCTAAGCTCCGTGAACCCAATACGCCTTGGCTAAAAAAGGAGATTGTACTATGTGATCTGTAAGGTTCCACCTAGCTCTGAAAATCTCTGACTCTTTATACAGACAAAGCTTGTATTTATTTGTAAGTATATACATAAAATAGGTGTGCCTCTTTTTGATAGAAAATTCCTTAAAACTACAACTTCACACCATACTGGGTCGGTTATTTAAAAACGTCTACTGATGTTATTGTGGGTGACTCCGCCTCATTGCATTCAAAACTTAATAAAACTTCATAGATAGGAGGTATATTTATATAACAATCTTCATTTGGGGTTCACATCACATCAAATATACATGTAGTGGGACTGACAGACCATTGGGAGTAGTTTTAGCATTATGTGTCTTATGTAAGATTATATGCAATTTTTGAAGTATTTTTTTAATTGTGATCTTTAAAAAATGTTCACATTAGTTTATGTGCTCAGGAGAGAATATCCTAAGTTCAGATAATCTTTAACTACCATTTGTACCAACTTTTAAAAGGCATTTTCTCCTCAGTAAGAACACCTAGCAATAATACTGCATTTTCCAAAAATAATGAGATCGGTTTTTACTTTAGGATACCTTTGAAATGTTGTGTTCACAAACTGGACTTAAAGTACACCTCAGTGATCCTTGTAGGACATTATAGAAACCATGGCAGAGTTAACTTTGGACAGGTGTCAGACATGGGCCCAAGCCTTTATTTACACCTGGGCCCATAGAAAATAAGAGCTGGGAAGAACCCTGTCATTTACAAATGAAGAAATCGAGGCCTCCGTACTTGAATACAGACAAATCCACAAGGATTTATTATATCCATCTTGTTTATTTTTAAATATGTATATGGCTAAGGCAAAGTTGTAACTTTGTGTTCATTACATACAATTTTATATAAAGAACAAAAATAAGCGTTAAGGCAAAGAGCGCAATGCACACCACCCGAAGGATGGACATATTTGAAACTCGGACTTGCGGGGGAGGGAGGGAGCAAGGGCAACATACGTAACCTAAACATCTGTACCCCCATAATATGCTGAAATAAAAAAAAAAAAAAAGACCTTAAAACTATGACACATTTGTAGCTCTGACTCGGGTGGTGCAAATTTATGTAACCAAAGCATTTGTACCCTCATAATACTCTGAAATTAAAAAAAATAATAATTAATAAATTTTTAAAAGCTATGTTTAAAAAAGAAAAAATAAGCGTTAAGGAAGATTTCTTCCTCCAGGATAATGCCTTAAATGCTTTATATAATTAGTCTAAATCAGCAAAAAACCTGGCCACAGACAAAACAGATATTTGATATTCTTGGGATTCCAACTGCCAGCTACATTTTTATTCCTGTTTATTCAAAGACAAATGGACATACTTTAATAAACTTGGGAATAAAAAGGAATTCCTTCTAATCAAGGCACAGTGAACAAGGTCTTCTAATTGAAAATCAAGTGTTCAAATATCGAGACTAATTTATTCAAGAATGTCAGCTTGTCCCATTGAATTGACCTTGTAAATCAGCTAACATCATGCAGTCAGAAATAGTTTCTGCAGAAGAATCTCATCAGCCATTATTTGTAATAATACCAACAACATCTAAGAATAAGTTATGCAGGTATGCCTTTGTGCTATCCAGCCCAAGTTTCAGCCTTGCACGAAGATTGCCTTTACAACTCTCACTGACCTGGGATCCATTTCTGTGTTCCATCCTAGGGTCTTATCTACAGTCTATATTAATGTCAGTTTGTATTTATAGGAGTAGCTGCAACTGGTGATTCTATCATATCTTAGTTGTAAACAAAAGAAATACTCTCCAATATAGAAATTTAACAGAAATATTGCCTTTGATGTATTGCATTCTTTGCATATGTCCAATAGCATATTTTGAACAATGGATTTTCTTTGCATTAAAGTACTCTGAACAAGTAAACAGCTGTTTAACTAAAACTAAAACATTGTTTTCTCATTTTAACCTCTCTGAAATCAGCAATAATCTGACATGGTATAATTGACAACATCTTTTTTCTTTTATAGTGGTATATACAAAGATGGTGCATCCCACATCAATGACATTTAAGATTCAATAAAACATGTCTTTCTTTGTCATTTTGTGGAGGAAAACAAAACCAAAGTGAAACAAAATGAACCAAAAAATAAAAAAATCTCCCTTGATAGCAGAGTAACAATGCATTTAAAAGCATATAACTGAACACTTGAGAAGTTAATCTCACCTCCTTTTAACTATGCAAGTACTATACGTATTTAAATATACATACGCATATCAAGTATAGTTGTGGACTCTTCTGATTTTCTTTCAAGACTCCTAACACTCACTTCTACAAATTTAAAAAATCAACCTTGTAATCATTTTCACATTTGTTGTGTCTCTTTTTTTAAATAAAATGGCATTCATGCTAGTATTTCCATGTTTGATGTCTGCCTCACTTCCCTCACAGAGGGAAATGAAGAAATATATTGTTGTTTTCTG